AATAAATTTATATGCATACGCCAATTTATTACATAACAGTAACTAATTTCTTAGTTATTTAATATATATGTATTATTTTATTATTTATAATATGAAAAAAATATAAAATAAATAATAAATATAAAATACTTATTGTGCATAAAGTGCAGATCTTAACCTAAGTATGTATCTCTTTAATTATTTTAAATCTTAAGTATTTACTAAATGTCAGGTCAAAACAAATAAACGAAATGAGAATAAAATTCAAAATGAATATTTATATCGAGTAATAACCAAAATATAAAAAAACATAGCAAGAGAAAAATGGAAGATAAATAGGATTGACACGTGAACGTAAACTTCTCATAACCATAATTAATTTTTAAATTGTTAAATCATGATATAAAACTGAGTTAATTTTTATTTTTTTTAAAAAAAATTTAAATCATAATGTTTATGTTAAATCATGACCATAATTAATTTTAAATTTTTTATTTGTATTTAAAAATTTTAAAATATTGTTTTTAAAAATAATTTAAAATTTAACATAATTTTTTATAAAATTATTTTAAAAAATAATAATTTGTAAAAAATATAATTTTCTAATATTATTAGACAAATAAATAAATTATATTAAATTAGTTTTGAAACTTTATATATTTTAAATGCAAATATTTTACCAATTGCGTCTTAAAAAACATTAGGGAACTTGCTAATACTCTACCAATCAAGCCCAGTGACACTCCATTTATTTTCCATCATTCGAACACTTAAAAGTGAAAAGATATATGAAATCAGATCCATTAAATTATAAGATTTGATCTACATTTCTAATTAAAATTGTTTCTGATCCTACGTATAGGTAATTATATAAAAATTCCAAAATTCTACAATTTCAAATACATACAAAAACAATCATATCTAAATTTTAAATTTGTCAATACTAAAATTTATTATTTTAATTACATATATTCACCCTGCGCAAGGCGCAGGTCTTATCCTAGTTTCATATATTAAGATTTTCAAATATGTTTGAAAGACTATATTTTATAAACTCATATTATTCTAACCATGATATGATGCTATATTTCATATATTAAAATTTTCATATAGTTGTACTACACCTTATATTTAAAAACTATACTTTATAAACTCATATTACTCTCACCATGATATGATTATATATTTCATATACTAAGATTTTCATATATTTGTACTACACCTTATATTTCAAAGACTATAATTTATAAACTCATACTACACTTTATATTACATATATTAAGATTTTGTTATAGTTGTAGACATTTGTTAATGTATTATATTATATATTGTCTATACCGACATTTTCTTGAGTTTTTTTCCTATATCAAACATTTTTAATATGTCTCACTACTTCTATCATTTATTTCATACCTCAAAACCATTTCAAAACCTTTGAGAATGGAGAATCCATTCAAATGTCCTTCATTTCATGTTTTTCTTCATTTTAAGACATTTGAGAATGGAGAATCCTTCCAAATGTTCTTCATTTCATGTTTTTTCTTCATATATGAAATATGTTTTCATGTCTCACTAAATTTACCCGTATTTATAAACCATAGTTAGACGACATATAGTGATATCAAATATGTCGATATATCATCATTCTCATGGTGAAATTTAATGGACGAGATACGTTTTGTTAAGAAAATATTGCAAAAACTATTTTCTATAATTATCTTACTACTAAAATAAATAAATTGCTTCACCTACAAGTTTATAGATTAACCACAATCAATATCGTGGTTAGTTATTCTTTGTTTGGATTCCATAAATTTAGGCAACTTACCGTAGTTGTATTACCATTAACTGTTATACTTTAAACTTCCTAACTAATTCAAAATATCTTCAAAAATATTCTTTATTCCTCGAAAGAGATATTTTTTCAAATCGTCTAAATATTCTTCCCTACATTTGCTTAACCTAAATTTATATCGTCCCTACCTATTATAAATATAGTCTCTCTTAATCACTATATTCATCATTCCTTGAAAAACCTAAAAAAAAAGGCGGATAATTTGCAGTTGTCTTTCTTGAACGATATAAAACCGAGGAAGACTGCATGTCGCATCCAAGTCAAAATCCTTCATACATAGACAATTCATGAAAGACATAGGGGAGACCATGGAACTAATCCTTTGTGATGCAAATGTAAGTTTATCGTTTTGTATAGGTTTATGATTTAGATATCTTCATTTTGTAAAAGTTTAGCCTAAATGATAATATTTTTTTTATATATATATAAGGAACTAAGATCCATGCCTCGTGTAACAAGACATACATTTCTGAGTTGGCATAACATATTTGTGTTGGAGTATGGAGGAACATTAATCGTTTCAGTGTGTCTGCCATTGGTGGATCATACAAATCAACTCAGTATAAGTATCGCGGGTCAAAATCTGATATGTGTTTCAGTGTCTCGGCCATGGACCCATCCAAGCGCGGGTCAAAATGTAATATGTGTTTTGATTCTTCATACTCTCACAATACTTAATGTTCCTCCATTTTCTGTTCAACCACAAACTGACTCGGTTATGCAAAACTCAATGAAAATATCCTACTAAAACGTTAAATATACATCAAATTTCACATATAAAACTATCATATAATAAAAATAGAATCATTTGATACATTTTGTTATAACCAAAATAAAACCTGCGCTTCTCAAGCTGTGCCGTACAAGTTGAAACCCTAAAGCAGAGAAAGATGCTTACAACGAGTGGAACTACAGCAAGTTCAGACTATGGCAACTCAATGACTACGACAAAATCATCTTCATCGACGCAGATCTCTTGATCTTGAGAAACATCGATTTCTTGTTCTCCACACCTGAGATCTCAGCCGCAGGAAACAATGGCACTCTGTTTAACTCAGGAGTCATGGTGATCGAGCCTTGCAAATGCACGTTTCATCTTTTGATGGACCATATAAACGAGATTGAGTCGTACAACGGTGGAGATCAAGGTTACTTGAACGAGGTGTTTCACGTGGTGGCATCGGATTCCGAAACATATGAATTTCTTGAAGCATTTTTGGGTTGGGGATGAAGATGACGTGAAGCGCAAGAAAACGGAGTTGTTTGGAGCAGAGCCTCCTTCCTATTCTTTATGTTCTTCATTACCTAGGGATGAAGCCGTGGGCTATGTTACTGTGACTATGACTGTAACTTCAACTCCGACATATTCGTTGAGTTCGCGACGGATATTGCTCATCGACGGTGGTGGATGGTCCACGACGCAATGCCACAGGTATGATACATCACACGACCAAATCTTTGTCTTAAACCCTAATTTACTCATAATACACATCATTTTCTAGGCACTATCTACCTTATAGCATTTTTTTAACATCAAACAATTATTTTATTATTTAAATTTGAGGTAGTCTAAATAACACTATTTTAATAGCATTTATAATGTAGACAAAAATTTCATTTTTTTATTAAAAACATACTAATCTGCAAAAATTTAGATATAACATTTTCTGTAGTTATAAGAAAATTGAGGTGAGTAGTAACTAAATATATGATGACGTTCTGTAGGAGCTTCATCAATTTTGTTACTTGCGATCCAAGCAAAAGGCTCAACTGGAATATGATCGCCGGCAAGCCGAGGCTGCGAACTATGCCGACGGCCACTGGAAAACAAGAGTAAAGGACCCGAGATTCAAGATTTGCATCGATAAATTGTGTAACTGGAAAAGCATGTTGCAGCATTGGGGAGAATCAAACTGGACCGACTACAAGTCTTTTGTACCTACACCACCGGCCATCACCGATGTTCGAACCAAGTTCGGTCTTTTCAGTGAATGAGTGACTGAATTTGTATGTGGGTTATTTCAAAGGCGTTCTTTACTATTTAGAGTCGAATAGTGGTTTTATTAATGAGAGAGTTCGGTTACAAATGAGGAAAGATGAGGCGAGGCGGAATCTCGCGGGGAGCTCAGCTGTGCCGTACAAGTCGAAAAGAAAGTACAAGAGTGAAAACCCTAATTCTAGCCGCCTTGTGAGTGAGAGTGATTTCGGATCCTCTGCTTGTTATCCTCTCTCCCCTTTTTATAGCGTTCTTTCATTGACCTAGCAAGTTGAGTGCATGCGTGTGAGGTCTTTCGTTCAATGGATCTTAGTTGGCCCGATAAGACGAATCCCTTATCTAAGTGACATTAATTCAGGCAACCACAGGGGTTATCTGAACTAAACCTGATTAACTGTTAATCAATGAAATGTTGCTCCGTTGGACCGGAGCTCGTGTGGACCGGACCCGTTATTCGACAAACCTTGTAAAGGAGGGGTATTCCACCTCCTACAACCGCCGTCCGGAGATCCTCCCTTCCTGGCCATAACTTGTGACGAGATACAACATATACACAATTACATATTAATGAATTTTCATTATATTTTTATGTGAGATTAGGTAAATATTAGATGTATAACTATTTTTTTCCTACATTTTCTTTTTAATTGGAATAAAAGGTTCTCTTTGTAGATTAAATTTAAGAGCATTACATATTGTATACATCATGTATTTACAGTACATTTTTACGTTACAATTTAATTAATATATAAGAATATACATCAGTGAAACTTGAAAGGCAAAATAATGTTAGCAAAATGCAATTTATATATACAGAAAATATAGAACATATATGTTGCAATTAAATAACCTAAATTAAACAATGACATCAGTCTCAAGGGTACTTGTGGAACATGTATACGTGTAAAGATTTTCCTAATTATTTAGCCGGTAGACATAATTTTGGCATCGAAAACTAATTAGAAAGGAAATGTATATAAAAAATGGAAACCGAATCTTATAGAAATCATTAATGATCTTTCGACATTAATGACTGAAGGAGACAGAATGGGTACCGAAAATAGAAAATCTCGAATTAGGGGTTTTGTATATATATTGGGAAACATATGAACAATAAAAAAAATCACAACTCTTTTTATTCAATACACAGTTATAGATACAAACATAACAATGGCTTCTTCTTCGTCTTCTTCGCCGAAGAAAACTTCCTCTTTGAAAGCTACAAGCTTAGCTAAAAGACAAGTGACTGTCTTCAAGAAAGCTCGAGAGCTCTCAATCCTCTGTGGAATCGAAGTCTGCGTCATCTACTACGGATCAGACGGCGAGCTTAAGACATGGCCTAAAGACAGAGAGATAGTCAAAGACATGGCTCGAAGGTACAGTCAGTTAAGCGATGCGAAGCGGCGCAAAGGACAAGACGATCTTGACCAGTTTCTCAAGAAGGTTGATAAAGATAATTCCAAGAACAAGAAGAAGGAGAAGAAAGTGAAAGTTGGATCCACTTTCAAGTATCCGGATTGGGATCCGAGGTTTGATAATTGCTCTGTGGAGCAGCTCACGGAACTGATTCAGTCCTTGGAGTTTACTGAAACCAAACTGCAACATAGGCTTCGAGCTGTTGAAAAGCAGAGACAGTGGAAGGTTCATTACACTAACATGGCTGCTCAAGAACAGATGATTACTCCGATGAATCATCTCCAACAACATTCAAACCGGAGTTCCATGGATATGTATAACCATGGGATCGGTACATCAGCTTTTAACCAGTCGCAATCTCTAGCTCCGCTTCCAAATTCACTGAGGATACACCAGAGTCCGAATATGGAAAGTTACTCGAGCTTACTTGGGTTTCAAGAAACTGGAATGGATGAAGGCCTGTGCCCGAACATGTTACCCTACAATAGCATCAACACAAACTGTGGTAATGTTTTGCCAAACCAGTTTCTTCAGAACTGTTACAACGTGGAAGATTTGTGTGGCTTTCTTGGGATACAAGGAACTGGCAGCAACAACATGAATGGGGAAGATTACTCCGGGTTACTTTGGCCGCAAGGAACTGGGACTAACGGGTTGCAGAACATGAACATGTTCGGTTACAACAATAACATCAACAACACCAATGGTTTTCCGCAGCAGCTTGTTCATTTCCCGGTTCAAAGAACACCACCGGTTGTTCAATACATGGATCGGTCAACACAACATCTATAGGAGATTTGATATCTAGCAATGCCTCTTATAGCTTAGAAGCATATTCTTATATATAGTGTTTTTTTTGGTTGATTCACTTATCAGTTAAAAACATATTTATTAATCTTAATTGTCAATGTGACTAACTATATTATATGAGTTTTGTTTTTGTGTTTACTAATAATATTCTGAGTTTTGTTATGGTCGCTTCTTTCTTTTTTAATTTGTGACGTTAGCATCTGTCACCTAATCGTTCACCACTCTTGCATTTGAGAAGAAAAAGGAAAAGTAGCCTCTAACAATAAAGTAATGTAAGTAGGAGTTCTGCTGCTGCGGAAGATTAGCAATCCGAGTTCGACGAAGCTAGAACTAGAACTAGAGTTTCACAATAGTTACTTTTCTGAACAAGATGAAAACTAGGCAACAATTGTTCCATAATGTAGTGCTGTGCCAAAAGTTCCGGCCCAAAGTTTGTCAAGATAATAACCATATCATTCAATGGTGGAGAAACCTGTTCCAGCTCAAAGTAATGTGACCAGGGAACATATCGATCAGATTAGCAACATTAGTGATACCAAGATTTTGTTTATCTTCTAATATAGAAACCACCAAATTTCAGAGATCCCTTTGTGGACAATGTTGATTTGTCTAAGCTCCCTTTTTTGGTTCATGTTCTTTTCAACAAAACTACCATAGATAGTTGAAAGAAATTCCAAAAATGTAACTTTATCAAACTACAATAGATAGTTGAAAGAAATTCCAAAAATGTAACTTTATCAAACTACAATTTGGAAGTGTAGATTGTTTCTCAAAAAGGATGCACGCATACAGCAACCAATTATACCAAAGGGCTCTTAACCAGTTTTAAACCGGTTTGTACCGTCGCTCCCGCCATTTAGAAAAACTCTTCTCTGGATCTTACCGGGAATAGAAGAAAAAAAAGTTGGGAACTTTCTCCGTGTAGTGAATTTGATATCTGAAAGACTGAAACGGAAGATGGCTTCGTCGTCGACTCCTAAAACCCTAATGGATTATTTCCAACCTCCCAAACGCCACAAAGCTTCCTCCTTTCCCGCCGTTTCCGCCGCCACAGGGTCCCACAGTCTGGACTCCGCAGCAAAATCGCCGCCTCGCGTAACCGTTTCCGACGACTCGTCTAGCCTCACACCAGACCAAATCTCTCGCTCAGAGTTCAACAAATCAGTAGCCAAATCCAAACGCATCCTCGCCCTCTGCTCCGAGAAGGTCACAAAAGCTAAAGGTTCGTCCTTTACTTTATTTCTAGGTTTTTTTTCTACGATTTAGATTGATTTGGGATTTGGGAATTTTATTTGTGTAGATGAAGGAAGATGCTACGTGGCATTGACTGAGCTCTTAGTTGAAGAAACATGGCTTAAAGCTCTCCCTGGAGAATTGGATAAGCCTTACGCTAAGACCCTTTCTTGTTTCCTTGAAAGTGAGATCGTAGCTGACAGTAAAAGTCCTCAAATTTATCCTCCTCAGGAATTGGTTTTCAATGCGCTTAATACAACTCCTTTTGATCGAGTCAAGGTTGTTATTATCGGACAGGTACAATGGTTTCTTCCAAGAGTTTCCGGATTCTTGCTATGATACTTTAATGTTTTTTTTTTTGCTTCTGTTTTGGGTTTAGGATCCTTACCATGGACCTGGTCAAGCTATGGGATTGTCATTCTCTGTGCCTGAAGGAGAGAAGCTTCCTTCTAGTCTTTTGAATATATTTAAGGAGCTTCATAAAGATGTTGGTTGTAGTATCCCTCGTCATGGTGATCTACAGAAATGGGCTGTGCAGGTACTACATTGATATCTCTCTACTTATTTGTTACTTGGAGAAGATAATGTAATTCATTTTTGGCTTTTTTCTTTTAGGGTGTTTTGCTGTTGAATGCTGTTCTTACAGGTAAATGTTTATCGTCGCATGGTTACATTATAAGTATGAGAACTGTCAAAAGACAAAATCCTGCAAGTCTTCTTACATTTTTTTTTGCCTTGTGATTCAGTAAGGAGTAAACAGCCTAACTCACATGCAAAGAAAGGATGGGAACAGTTCACTGATGCTGTTATTGGAAGTATCTCACAGCAGAAGGAAGGTGTTGTCTTTCTCCTCTGGGGAAAATACGCTCAAGAGAAATCCAAGTAGACTTATTAGTTTCTTTGCGGCTGTGTATCTTTGTTGTTTATCTTGTGTGAGACTTCAAGTTTTTGTTATGATCATTGCAGGTTGATAGATGGGAATAAGCATCACATTCTCACAGCAGCTCATCCATCTGGTTTGTCAGCGCATAGAGGCTTCTTCAATTGCAGGTTAGCTCAAGTCCACTAAACTCTCTCTTCAAATGCATAATGTAACCAAAGTTTTTGTGAGTCTGTAAAACATGTCATGACTTGCGCACTGTGCTTATTTTTGTCCCAACTGCTGAGCGCTGAGGTATCATTAATGTTTCTCATTTGGACAGGCATTTCTCTCGAGCGAACCAGCTACTCGAGAAAATGGGCACTCCCCCTATAGACTGGCAGCTCTAACCTCTTAACCAGTGTTCAAGCCAGGAGGAAGTAAAGAGTGCTCTTCAGAAGCCCGCCATTTTTTTCTGCAATCTCTTTTGTGAAATATTGTGTTATCATGGAAGTCTAGACGACTAGCATACGCTGCTAAAAGATGTACTCGAGTATGACTAAGTAGTTGTAAACTATATCTTCATTGTGTACTCTTTGAAGAATAGTGTATTATATTAGTGCTGCTTAATTGTAGAACTTCCTTGTTGCCACGAAGTATGGAGAAGTTAGAAAGTATTGATTGGTGGGATTAGTTATAAGTATGTACATATGCGTGAAAGATAGCTGGCAGCTTTGAGCTGCAATTAAACGCAGTTTTGAAGCCACTGATGAGTGCTGAAATGATCTTTATGTAATCCCTCTGATACTATTATTACTGAATTCATGGCATGTCAGGGAAACAAAAATTTACTATCTTTAACAAATTTACTATATTCTATGAACATGTGTTTTCACAAACAAGATACAAACTTTGCTCATCTTCATGACCTGTTAACTTCAATTATGATTTATGAATCTAAATGACGAAGAACAAGCTCCAGACGTTGCAGGAGGAAACATAACAAAACATATTGACTCACCATTCTTGTCATGTCTTATGTCTCTTCCTCAAGTTCCTTATAGTTGGCAAATGCCTTTCAAACGAAAGTGGACACCCAAAAAACGTCAAAAGATTCCCGCAGCTCTTTTCACCTTCTTCCTCGCTTCCTTGAGAACTCAAATGGCTTAAGTAAGTCTTGCCTTCGTAGATATAGCTAAGCTGCTGCCATAGCAAAACACTTAACCCAATGGCTACGGAAACACTCGCCACAAAGAGGTATAATAGAACAAGACCTCGAATAGAGATGAAGATAGCGTTGGAAAAGTAAGCAAGTACGATATTCTTCACCCCTCTCAGAATCGATACACTATTATTAGCATGTGATGCATAAGCTGCTCCATTTTCTGGTGGTGGCAAGATATGAATCAGGGAATATACACACATAACAGAAGCATAGATTGTGCTTATAATCGCCGAGATAAGAAAGGCGACGAAGTTTTTGTGATTGCCAGCACCAACACAGTTACCGATCTGCAAATACAACACAAGGAGAGAGTCATTAGTCTTAAGCTCTTAACCAGTAAATAAGGACACAGGTCAAGGTGTTGATCAACTAATCTAGTAACTAAGTTCTCTATGATTGATACAACACAAGGATATTCATTAGCCTTAAGCTATTAAGGAAGATTAGAGGAAATGTATTAAATAGTTTGGAACGATAAACTTGGTACTAAGTCTGTGATTCATATGTGAAACCATGAGACTTACAAAGGGGCAATGATGATCCATGTCGAGGACACACATGCCACATGTGCGACAGTGATGGGTTCTAGGTGACTTTGGTTTGGAGCAGTAGTGACAAAAGGTATAGTTGTTAAGTGCGCCGTTCCCTACTCCAGGGTGGGTTCCATAAACAATATCAATAGGTTTCCCCGCGCATTTAAAAGCAACAACCATGAATGTTGATAATGTTGATATCGCCAGAGACACAGCTACAACAGAATGGAAAATCCCGCAAGCCAAGCTGATTGAAAACACGACTGGATACGCTGCCCAAATCCCACCACCTGCAGTTTATTACCAAAACAGAGTATGAGAATGGCAACTATCATTTCTACATTTATGTCGTTCTTAGATAATTTAGAGTAACTTACACATGACAAAGAGCATGAAAACAGCAAGAATAGCTACAAAACAGCCGTCACGGATACGTCTCAATCCAAAGCTTCTGGTTTCAGGTCTGACTGGATTCTGATTCGTGATTGCACCACACCAGCCACACTTGAAAACAGGTGCGTACGATGGAAGAACAAGGTTTAGTCCACAGCCCCAGCAGATTGATTCATAATCTTCGTTTATGGTTGTAACAAAGCTCCCCTGGACACAGAAAAAACAAAGTAAGAGCTTATACTCAACCTTCAGGGCCTAACGCTATTTCTCAGTTCGCTCTTTCAAACCTATGCAAGAGAACTCTACTAGCAGTATCAGATGCAGTCACTAGCTTATGACCTCAAAAATGTGTAAAACACACACTAACACTGAGACACTCACACCCCAGCTTCCTGATTGCCCTAAACTATAATTATGTTCCCTCAACATTTCTTTACTAGGTACTAATGATTCTAAACTTAAAATCCTTCTCGCCACAAATCTATAAGATTTTTCCACTGTTAAATAGTTTAGGCATCATGGTGAAACAATCTCAATTACCACATTGAGGCATCATATAAGTAATAAACCCTCAAGACAATGCAGTGAAATGGACCACAGAGAGAGAGAGAAAGTTCCACTAACCTGGGAAGACTCCTCCATGGCTTCTTCACTAGTCCCAGAAGATTAAAAAGAATTGCAATCAAGAACGCAGATAAAACCCAAAAGCTCTAATTACTTTATTGAAGAACCAAACAAACACACTACTATCAGCTCCCTTAAAGCTACGACCTTTACGAAAAAGATTCGATTGGTTGTTGTCGGATTGCTTGAGCACGACACAAAGGCATCAGATTCTTGCTTGACAAGTTTTAACGGTTGACAATCTTTATATCCACAGGATACTCGTCTGATGAAATTAACAAACTCACATTTATACTCTCTCTTTCTTTCACTCTCCTTTTCTGTTGAACAATCTCCGGTACCGACGGCGGCGATAGACACCGGGAATTTTTGATCGGAAGTAAAAGGAGAAGAGATAAGTCTGAACACAGCGGCGAAAAATGATATTTACTCTTTTCTTTTTTGGTAAAATAGCATAAAAAATCTTCAACCGGACTTACTTGTTCATCATGTTAAAACTATGACATGTTGACCTGTAATAATAGGTCACATGTTGATTTGTTTTATTTTATTTAATTAATAAATACATTTAACAATAGAAAGCTAATTAAAATTAGAAAATTACAGATTTTTTTTTTTAAATGTAAGTTTTGCAAAAAAAAAAATTTTAAATACAGATAAATTCAAAAATCTTAATTTAAAAAAAAATCAAAATATTTTCTTAGGAATTTAAAAGTGTTTATTTTTATTCTAAATGATTTTTTTTAAATGTGAATGTAATTTGTTTATAAAATTATATAAATCTTTAAATTTTTATTTTTTTAAAAAAATAATGAGGATATACCACCAGTAAAAGAAACACTTTTCGTTATATCACAATTAATAATAATGTTTTTTTTTAATTTTAAAGAGTTTAATTTTGTTGATATCTTTAGTGATGATAATTTCTTCTATACAAATAACAATGATTTTGACACTTTTGTCATTATCGATATAACCAAATATGTTATTCTTTATAATGATATGACAAAGAGTGTTTAAGTTAATGGTGATAATGTTTAAAATTATTTTTTTTGTGAGAAAATTTTATAGCTTTTAGATGATTTTTTTTTAAAAAAAAAAAATTAGTTTGCAAAATTTTTAAATTAAAAACTTTGAAATTTTAAGAAAATACTTTGATTTTGGTAAGTTCAATTTTAGAATTTTTTCTGTAATTTTTGGTAATTTTATTTAGGATTTTTATTGTTAATTATATTTATTAATTAAATAAAATAAAAAATCAACATGTGACCTACTATTGCAGGTTAACAAGTGACAATTTTAACTTGATGAACAAGTAAGCCAAGTCGAATGTTTTTTGTGATATCAAAACCAAGTTGAATATTTAATATGCTAGATAGATAAGTTCAAGGTTTAAAGTGATAGTGAGTGCCACTTTGAAGGTTTTTTATGCTCTTTTCCCTTTATTTTTTTGCATATCTTAGGAGGTGTGTATTAGAGCAAGTGCAATGGTGCTAGTCAAGTGGAATTTTTGAAAAACATGATTTTTGATTTTTTTAATTATTAATTTTTTTTGGAATAAAAATAAAAATAAAATTTTTAACCAACCATAAGTCCTTATATGTCAGTGGGGCATGTGAATAATAACGAGACTCATTATGTTTCAATCTTTAGTTAAAGATTTTAAAAATTGTTTTGACTAACAATCCTTAACTATTTAAATTATTAAATTGTATTTTTTCCTAATGATCCCATTTAAAGACTTCTATTGGAAGTGTCCTCCAAGGTTAGCTCATTTGTATTAAAACAACAAATTTTGTTATTATTCAATTATGAATTTTAAAATTTTATTTAGAATCCAAGGTTATTGAATTTGATATTTTTTAAATTACTATAAAATCTATTGTTATTAAAAATATTTTAAATAGTAAAATTTTAAGAGATTTTAAAGTAGGTAAAATTCAAATCATATGATTTTAGATGAAAATTTAGAGTAGTTTAGTAAAATCACTTTAATTCTACAATTTACTAAAATCATCTAAAATCTCATTAAAATCAAATCACTTCAAACTTTAAGCTGAATACACTCTTTTTAGTCTCCCAATATTTTATTATTGTTTCCTGGTCCCTCTATAAGTTATTTATGTTATTGTCAACGGATTAAAAGTTATGTTAACAATACAGTCCAACACAAACTAACATTTTTTATTTTTTGAGATTAGATTAATGCGTATTATTTACAGAAATCAGTAATGCTAAAATGTATAATTTTATTTTAAAATTCAAAATATAATAAAAAATATAAAAAAATTCTAAGATATACCTAAAAAAGTTTTTGTCACAAATATAGATCTTTAAAAATAAAATGACCAAAATAAACTTAAATATTTTATCAATAAAAGTAAATATATATTTATATCCTTTTAATTAATCCTATATATTATTTTTTAGAGTTTAAGAGTGATGTTTTGGGATAGAATTGTAAATTCTAAAAGTAAAAGAAAATTTTAAAATTTTCAAAATAAAAAATGTTATTTTGGTCATTTTAGGTTTGAGGTTTATTTTTATGATACAAATTTTGTAAAAATTATTTGGGGAATTACCCTAAAAAAATAAATGCATGAAAAGGCATATTTTCCAATTTTACCCTTTTATCTGATGAAAGAAAATATTAATTGAAAATTCGGAAAGCTTGGGAGTCAAGTGTCTAAATACGAATCTTACTTACAATCCCTAAACCCCTAAAACTCTTTTAGCAGGAAAAACCACTCGAAAACCTAAGCATCAGTCATCTCCAGCCGTCTCCATGGCCAAGTCCAAGAATGAATCGGTCACCAAAGTAATCATCTTTCTCTCCTTCTGTTCACCATCTGTTTTGTCTGAATATTTGAGGAGCGATCTAAATTAACTATGTTTGATTTTGTGGGATTCCTAGGTCGAAGCAGCACCTGCCTCAACCAAGAAGCCATCAAAAAAAAGTAAGAGTCTTGTTTTGTTTGTTTGTTGGTTTGTCTATTGCTTCGATTTTTTTTTTTTTTGGCTCTGGCGTGTTTCTAGTTCTCTTGTTACGATAATTGATGATTGGCGCTTTGTAGTTGTCTAGAAGAGTGCTTCAGATACAACACGATGTTTGGTTTTGACTTTGGCTGTTTACGTTTGTCTTGTTTGCTTTAGGTAAGAGAGATGCGGAAGTTGATGTGGACATCCAAAAGAATCCCAAGAAGCAGAAGAAAGAGTTGATTCAAGCTGAGAAAAAACTCAAGGTATAACTTCAGTTCACTTGATATGTATGTTGACTTTTAGTTGATATATTTAGAAGTTTTATTAGGTTGACTTTAAATTACTAAACTTTTTTATATAATCATCCTCTTTATCTCCTATGTCTTCCCCGTCTGTTTTGTCTGAATTTTTGGGGAGTTATCTAAATTAACTCTGTTTGGTTTTGTGGGATTCCTAGGTCGAAGCAGCACCTGCCTCAACGAAGAAGCCATCAAAGAAAAGTAAGAGTCTTGTTAACTTTCTTTTGTTTGTTAGTAAGTTACATGAGTGCTTCAGACCCAACACGATGTTTGATTTTTTACTTGGCTTTTCGTTTGTCTTGTTTCCGTTTAGGTAAGAGAGATGCGGAAGTTGATGTGGACATCCAAAAGAATCCCAAGAAGCAGAAGAAAAAGGGCATTCAAGCTGAGAAAAAACCCAAGGTATAACTTCAGTTCACTTGATATGTAATGCTTTGGTTAAGTTGACTTTTAGTTGATATATTTAGAACTTTTATTAGGTTGACTTTAAATTGCAAATTTTTTTTTATATAAACTCACATCCGGACTAAATGAAAGTCCTTGTTAAGAAACCTCTCTCTAAGAAGGATGACTCATCTTCTGAGGAGGTATAAACCGCATCATAATTCATTAAACATTCGGTTGTCCAAAAAAAAAAGTTCATGAAACATTCTTTTAAGTACCCGCTATGATGACCTGTATAGAATGTAGGATAAGACCATCTTTATTCTAACTTTAACTCAATCTTTTATTCGAAAAAAAACCAGGATATTAATGTTGAAATGGCAGAGGCAGAGCAGAAATCAAATGCAAAACAAGTAAAAACTCCATCCTGTTAAATTGGGGCTGTGAATTGTATTATGTTTTATGACATGTTTTTCTTCTTCTGAATCATAAGACGCCAACCAATGAGACACCAACCACTCAGGCTCAAGAACGATCAAATAAACTATTTGCTGGAAATCTTTCCTCTAAAACTAAGAAATCTGACTTGTAAGTGCATATATTGCTTTTTTTTTTCTTCTTCTTGTTCTTCCGATAGAATGCTGTTACTTGATACTTATATAACTCATAAACAGAGAGAATTTCTTCAAAGAAGTTGGTGGTGAAATCAAAGTTGTTAGACTTGCTAGGGGATACGGGCATGTTGAGTTTTCTTCTGTAGAAGCAGTTCAGAAGGTAAGTTGCTATTCTTTAGTCTTTACTTTGGAGTCTCTCGTTATATTGATGTTGGATTGCGAATATGTACTGTTGGTTGTTTTTTTTTGGAATATGTAGGCATTGCAACTGAATGGTAAATCATTACGAGGCCGCAAGATTCGGCTTGATGATTTTAACACGAATCCTGCTCCACAAAGCAGGTGCTTTTTCTTTACCTGCCATACAAACATTAACATGTTGTGAAAGTTTTGGTTGTTTTTATATGATATGTTTTTTTTTGCTCTAATGTTGTTTTGCTGGGATAATTGCAGCAATGCTGATGGTAACTTCCAGAGAGGAGAAGGAAGCCAAGTTAAAACGATATTGGTTAAAAAAATCGGCAAGTATGTGGGTGAACAAGAAGTATGATACTCATCTTCAACTTTTCTTTAAGCCAATTTCTTCTACATTTTGCAATAATTTCTTTTTATTTTGTAAAATCTCTGATGCAAACATTAAAAATTAATCTGTTGTGAAACATTGCAGATGAAAACTGCGTTGAGAGATCATTTTAGTGCTTGTGGAGAGATCACAAGGTTTGCTATTCCTTGTGATCAAGAGACTGGCGCTACCAAGGGGTTAGTAACTCTTCTTTTGGTGAATGATAATGATGATGTGATGATGATGATACTCATGGAACATATGTTTCCTTAATCTTTCAGAATGGCTTTCCTAGATTTGAAAGAGGAGGATGGATTCAACAAGGCATTGGAACTAAACGGAAGTGAACTGGGAGGACGGAACATAGTAGTGACTGAAGCTAGCACAAGAGGACAGAATGCTGATCGAAAGAGTGGACGTAGACAAGGACGTAGACGTGGACGTCCACTTAGACAACGTAGACGTGACAAACTGGCGACGGTGACAGCTTCAAAAGAGGACCTGAAAAAAAAGGCAATGGTGACCTAGAACACCAAGCAAACCAAGTGTACTTGCCTC